ACACACACACACACACACACACACACACACACACACACACACACACAATCTATACACAAACTATACTTCACTTGCAAGGCCAGGGGCCAAAGTGAGATGGGTTAACTTATGTCTTAGCATCACTTACTGTAGAGAAGGAACTCTCGGGAAAGGTTCAGGGCACATGAGACATTTCCTGCCTTGTTAAGAAAAGAAAGAAAATGTCAACCGAAATAAGAGTATTTTCTCCCACCAAATCACTTAATAGTTTTAAAAACCACAGTAGATAATAAGGTTCTTTGGAAAAAAAGCAGTGGGCTAGAAATGCAGAGGATTGTTTTTGTTTTCAGCCCTTCTATAAATCAAGTCTCCTTGTTAACAAATACGTTATTATTACCCTGACCAGCAAACAGACAGAGAGAGAGAAATCGGGACAAGTTTGATTAGGCTTGGTGCATAGCTCAGTGGTGAAGTGCTCACCTGGTACGTGGCCTGAATGTGATCCACAGTGCCACCAAAAGAAAAAAAAAAAAAAAAAGGAACAAGAGGAGGAGGTGAGATTGAGAGAGAAAATCTACTGAAAGTATAGTTTACTCTTATTCTTCACACTTAGTAATTCCTACAGACTAGACAATTAGTGGAAGGAAGCAAAAGAAAAACTAAGCTGAACATTGCCTGGGTGTGGGAATTAGCTGTTCGCAGCCATTCAGCCTTGGCCTCATCACGGTTGAAAGACCTAGGTCCAAGGGAGACTTGAGGCTGCCTCTGGGTGCTACAGAATGATGACTAGCTGACCAGAATGTATAGAATTGGAATTCCTTGAAATTTTAGTGTACTAACGTTTCATTTTCGTGACAAAAGCAATTAATAATCACAGTGTAAAATATATGGGGGATACGATTTTAAAAATCACTCCATTGAAACCTAGCTGTTCAAGCTCTTTTGAAGTTTTTATGTAGTTTTATGTAGTTACAATAAAATTTCTCATATGACTATTGTTTCCTTCTAATTTTGCATTATCTTTGCATAGTTTTCATAGAAATTGCTTCAATGGCTACATTTTGTTCCACCCAGAAACATTACAGATGACCAACAACACACTGCTACTGGAAATACAGATTGTTTTTCATTATTTATTATTGTGAATCATTCTGTTCTATATTTAACAGAGAAATGGTTAAATAGCCCAAGAGCATTCTGTACTTGCCAGATACTAACTTAAAGTCGTAGCTTTGTAAATAAGCACCTCTTTTACCTTTACAGGTAAGGAAATTGAGGCTCATGGAAATAAAGTCAGTGGCTCAAGTTTCCACAGAATTTCAACTTGGCTTGTGTGACTCCACAGTCTATAGCTTAATGACTGATTTAATTCTTACTAATTTTTTAATTAAAAACATTTTATACGGTAATCAAAGGCTTATAGTAGAGAAACACCGATCAGATTTACTGGGAAGAAGTGGGAGGTGCAATTCATTTATAAGATGAAGTCTTCCGTGCTTTGTTGCTTTTGCAAATTTGAAGTAGGATGAAATGTTCTCTGAGAGTCCACAGGGCAAGGTGGGGAGAGAGGAGAGGTACGAATGACTTCACAACATAGGCGACACTTAAGTGAGCCTCTCAGGTGAAGAGAATTTCATCAGACAAATTGGGTGTGGCATAGAGAGGAGAAGAGGAGGGAGGAGAAGCCTGTCACCAGACTTGCAGGGAAATAAGACAAATCACTGGGCACTGTATTTGTAATCCCGCCTTGGGGGTGAACTGCTTTGTCTGCTTTCTCTGAGTCTTTTCATGCTGGTTCTGTTTTCTTCCACTACTAAAACTCGACCGCTTCTTGCCCTTTGCTCACAGTTAGTCATTTCGATATATAGCATCTGCCCAGGAGCGGTAGCAGGAGCACACAGGTGTATAGCTAAGAGCCAGTACCAAGAAGGGCCATGGGCAGAGCAGACTACTAACTGCTCTGAAGATGAATCTGTTTTCTCAGCAACTTGTGGGTTTGATGCATGCCTGGGGCTGGGGTATGGCTCTGTGGTAGAGCACTTGCCTACCACACCCTGGATTCAGTTCCCAAAACCTGCCAAAAAATAATTGCAGGGAACGGCCTGGTTTATTATTGAAGGTTATTAACTTTGGAAACTCCACAGAACCTGCCCGGTGATGGTTTTTTTTCCAGCCTTTTCTTGAAGACTATATAATTGGTGAGAAATGAGGTTAGTCATACAGGAAGATGGAAACTATTATATTTTGGGCAAGGGATGTCCAAGTGTGACGCAGCAGGCAGCAGATCAGCAGTAACTGGGAAAGACGAGAGCTGCAGGGAGCCTTCAGGCTGCTACAGTGGAATGAAGATGTCACCTCGGTAGCCACCGATGGCCACACTACAGCTGGACTCGGTATCATGTGGGAGAGGATAGTCAAACGACTCACGTCACAGCAGTGCTCTGATGTTATCGGGGCTGAGCCATGAGTTACCGGGAGCGCAGTGAGTGCTCTCCATTGACTGAAGTCCCGTCAAATACCTATGTGGCTGCTGCAGTAGCAGGTAGGAGAGAGGCTGTGTTAGGAGAGGAGAAGACTGTAAAGTGGTCCATGCGTTGCTTAGCATGCCAGACTTAGATTCAGATGTGTGTCCTAGGGCCACCTCAGTGAGCTTCCTGGAAGGTTAAGAATGGTTTTTGGAAGCTTGATCTCCTTACATTCAGTCTATGATGATAATAAAATAACAACCTTACATTTTCCCCCCGCCTCCAGGAAGATTAAACAGATGATGTCCAACAGTGTGCTGACTGATAAAAATGAGCTTCATCACTCCTCTACCTGGAAACAGGCGAAGGCCAAATAATCCAGGGCGTCTTCCAGACTGGCCTCATCCTCCGTCTTCCACTCTCCGTAAGATCTTCGGAAGAGACTGACAGCTTCCTCCAGCCACGGAATGGCATGGTAGTAATCCCCCATGTCATAGGCTACCTACCGGAAACACAAGCCACAGCTGCAGCGTTAGCCCACAGACAGAAAAAAAGGAAATTATCTGATTATTCAGAGTAGGAGGCATTTGGACTCCAGAGGCTAGCTACTCTCAAATTCATTTTAATTCAGTTTACTACTATCTAACAATAGTATGAGTCATTTACTCATGGAGAAAAGACAGGGTTCTGCATTTGAGGAATTTATGATCTAGGAGACAAGAGAGATGAACTTGAGTATATACAGCATGGGGCAGAATGGTGCTGGGCACTATGGAGCATGGAGAAGGGAAGAGACTTGGGGTCTCAGCAGGTTTACTGGTGGCATCCGAGAAAGACCTTTCTCGAAGAAGGAGGATTTCAGTGAGCAGAAGTTGTGATGAAGTGCCTTTTAAGATGAGAGAATGGCAGAATGAACATTCTGCTCACATGAGTCACTGGGGCCTAGCATGAAGAAAACAGAGAGGTGAGCATGAAGAGGGGGCACTAGCCTACTGCAGCCTTGAGTGTGTTCTTAGGAGGATACTGCAGATAGCTCTGTGAGGACAGAACACAAGTAATTGATTCAATACTTTCGATTATTATGCATGTGGTGCTTCTTGTCCTTACAGTACTGAATCAACGAGGGCCTGTGAACAAACCATCGCTACAGCACAACGCATTCAAAACTGTAATGACTGTAGACAGCGGGAATGCTGTGGTGACTGAGCAGGTCAGTGCTGATTAAATGTTGGAATGCCAGGCAGCATGGTAGCCTGTACCAGACACAGCTCCTGTCTCCTCCCAGCTTACAGTTAAGTAGAATACCAGACCTTCGGGGACACTTTCCTGGAAGTCAGTATTGAAGCAGCATGGAACTATAAAGTCATTGGGCTGGAGCAAATCTTACAAAATGACCTTACTGAGGTGTAACTGCCAGTCAGGGCGAGACCTAGAGATGTTGCTAGTCTACAGCCGGAATAACAGAGCAGCTCCCATAGCAGGTTTGCCGTCAGCCTGTGGTGCTGTCGCTGGCCCTTCACACATTTCTTAATTGTTAAAAAGGTTGAACTGAGTGATGATGATGATGATGACAACCTAAACTTTTCCTGTAAAGTTAACTGTGTGTTGTGTGTATGTATACGTGTGTGGTATATATGTATATATGTATATATTTATTTATATGAATGTATGTGGCGTGTGTATTAATATGTGTGTGGTACATATATGGGTATGTATGGTGTTTGTACGTGTACAGGCTGTGTATGTAGTATGTGTGGTGTACATGTATGTATGTTTGGTGTGTAAGTTTTGTATGTGTGTGGTATGTATATGTAGAATATGCTGTGTGTAATATATATGTATGTTTTGCGCAGTGTGTATGTACTTAGTATGTGTGTGATGTGTGTGCGTGTGGTGTGTATGTGTGTAGTATGTGCATGGAGTATGTATGTAGTACGCGTGTGTGGTGTATGTGTAATGTGTGGCGTGTATGCATGTGGAGAGGCAGTGTATATGTGTGGTATGTATACATGTGTTGTATGTGTATGTATGTGATGTTGGAGATTGAGCTCAAAGTTTCATACATGCTAGGGCGCTGCACTCAAGTCCGAATTATTTATCTGCTATTTTCATGGGGAATTTCAAGACCTAGCAATATGGTAGATGGACATGACTGGGATGCTTTCAAACACAAATATTTAGACATGTTAAATAAAAAACACAAAGTACAAGGTTATACGTTTTCAAAGAAAAACATTAAATTCCAGATGGTAGAAACAAAAATTTATCTGAAAACTTCCACAGTGAGCACATTAGCAGATGCTTAAGCTGTGGAGGGTGTGGGAGGCTGAGGCCAGCCCGGGCTACAGAGTGAGACAGAAAGAAAAGCGAGCAATGAAGACAAACAGCCACAGGACACAATTACAATGCTAAGAGCAGCCCTTCCTCAGAGTTGCTCAGACCGGAAGCAGTCTGGGCGTGTATCAACAGGAGTCTAAGCTGTCTGTCGAATGGTCACATAACAGAACAACATGAACGAACTACTGGGCTAGAGATGCCTCAGCAGTTAGAGCACGAGCTGCTCCTGCTGCGGACCTGAGTTCAATTCCCATTACTCGCATGGAGGTCCCCGACTGTCCACCTCGCCAGTTCTAGGGGATCTGATGCCCTCTTCTGCCTTCTGAAAGCACTAGGCTTGCACGTGGTGCGCACGCACGTGAGCAAAGCACTCACACACATAACGCAAGTAAATGTTTTTAAAATGAGTTACTAATATATACAACGGCATAAGTGCATTCTATAGTATAAACTCCAGAGTGAAGAAAACAACCCCCTGCGAGGCAGACGACACTGGTGACCTGGCTGGCAGTAAGGTAGTAAGAGTAAGAAGGAAAGACTTGTAATTAAATATAGCCAAACTTGAAAATGTATTTCACTTCATTTATAGATATAATTGCTTTTTAATATATAAGATAAACAGATAGACAGAGAGAGAGACAGACAGATAGATCGATCTCCTTTTCATATTGTTTCATGTACTGCCTCACATTTGAAATGTGTTGTCTTTCAAATAAGTACAGAAATAAATAAAGATTTCCAGCAACATTGTCAGGAAGTTGGCTTACTAAATTTTCAGTATATGGCTTATAGTTTTCAATACACGGCCAAGAGGCTTCATTAACAACCTTTTACTTCTGCTGTGCACCCAGCCACTTGAACTAGCCATGTGCATTACAGGACTCTGATTCTGCTCAAGACTGCAGAGAGAGAAGCAAGAAGCATAGAGGCTTGCTTTGCATACATTTGGGAGACTGATTGCCCAGTCTTGGAACTAGGACCCATGAAGCGCACTGTAAACCTGCTAACGAACATTGGGTGGGCAGGGTAAGGAAAAAACTACACCTTCCTGCAATAAGTCTCTTCAAAAGGAAAAATATGAACAATAATTTACCGTATGCCTTTTGAAGGTAAGGGTAGGCAAAGAGTATATTATAAAAAACCTCAATATGAGTAAAAATCATCTAAATATACCCATTGGAGGTTCCTGAGGTCTAGTGGTTGTTTTGCACTAACTTAACTCCATGTTTCAAAGTACTTAGAGAACATTGCAAAGGATCCCAGAGCCGCTCAGGAGGCTCCTTCTGTGATCTTACCTTCACATCACCATCTGGAACCCATTTTAACCCTTCCCTTTGTTCCCCTCTCACTGGTTCATACACTGGCAGGGTATATAGAGTTTAATTCTTGGCCTAGTTTGTGTCTACCAGCCTGGCATATTCAGTTAAATCCTTTTGTATGTAAAGGATGTAGCTCAGTTGGTTAAGTAGTTCGTTAGCACGCATGAGACCCGAGGTTTGCTTCCCAGCACTGCGGAAACTGGGTATGGTGTAATCCCAGCACTGTAGAGGTAGAGGCAGCAAGAGCCTGTCAAGTTTCACACCAGCCTGGGATATACACAATATCCTGGGGGGGATAGAAAAGCTATTCATTCTCGAGTGTCCTAAGAATAAGATGACTTCATTTTCCCATGGCAGGAGCATAGGGTTTAGAGCTAAAAGATGGGGTTCAAATTTGGTTCTGATGTTTTGTGTTACGCACTCCTAGTGATCTACCCTATCTGAACCTCGGTTTCCCCCTCTGAGAACAGGGACAATATCAGCTGCCAACGTTTACCGCAAGCGTAGGGGACGCATAGTGTTGAGACACCGTTCATCCATAAGAAACGAGCACTGAGCAGTTGCTTCTCTTTGCACGTCACCTTGCCGACTTGGAAGCAGTCATCCGCCGTGAGGGAGAAGAGCTGCCTGGGGCTGTAGAGGTCGGTGGTGGAGGAGCCCGTGACCCTCCGGAAGACGCCTTGGGCCAGGCCCTTCACGTTGAGCATGTATACATCCTGCAGCCGCATCAGGGCCCTTGCTGCTCCCTCGAGGTCCTCGAAGACAGGAAGGTCTTGCTCTACCTTCTCATAACCATCCTTCAGAGCTGTAAAAGTAGTAAGACTGTGACCCAGCCTCCCAACATAGGTGATGGGCATTTACCTGTTCGAAGTGGCCCCAGCAGCTGGCTCAGTTCCTGACATGCAGTGGATTCCTTTTGTTAAAGGTGTGTGCGTGTGTGTGTGTGTGTGTGTGTGTGTATGTGTGTGTGTGCGCGCGCCTGCCCGCAGGTGACCTCAAGAGTAGCACATGGGATACGCTGGAGCTGGAGTTAAAGGAAGTTGTGAACTGCTGGGATGTGGGCACTGGTATCTGAGTTGGGTCCTCCTGGAAGAGAGCAGCAAGTGCTCTTAACCACTGAGCCATCTCTTCATTCCAGAGTGGAATCCTGGGTAAAGGACATTCAAAATACTTGCAGGAATAGGTAAGAAGAAATAAGATGCACAACTTTGTCATATTGTCCTACCCTACATATATATGTCTCTAGAAGTCTTGCTCTTTAGCAAAAGGCAACTCTTTTTCTTAACTTCCCCAAACTAACAAACTTCCTCTAGTGCAAGGTAAGATAAATTAGGAAAGTGATTTGTTACAGATCACATTACATTATTCTCATTTTCAAGCTTAAAAACCTGAAATAGAAACTACTAGCAGGCCACGGCTTTCTGCAGATAAACGAATACATAAAATCACACATTTAAATGGGTGGATATATACTTCTTCACTTGACTGTGGTAGAGATCAAGTGAAGTAACAGATGTGAAGGCATTTTGTAATCTAAAATTATAAACCTATTAGCAAGGAAACCAACTCTATAGACTCAAAAGGGGCTTAGGAGTTCAAGTAATTCCTATCTACTGCTAATCCTAATTGTAACTCACTGGAATCTCCCTCCTTACCACTGAATCAGGAGCTAGATGCTTCTCCCATATTTCACAACCCTCCTCATTACCTCGGATGTTCTCAGTGGCCTCCAGACTATGCACCACATTCCTCCAGTCAGACTGCAGACGCTTGATGAGTGTGAAGGCAAGTAGAGGGTTCACTATAGGGATTTTCAAGTCCTCGTGCAAAGAAAGAACCTTGTCATAGAATCTGAAAGAAATGAGAAAGAGTTATCTCACCTCTAAACACAACTGCTATAGCCGAGGAAGGCTGGCATGATGTGAACGGCTAAGATTAAGAGCTGGGTACAGTGGGACCTGCCTGTGGACCTTACCTCTTTAAGCAGGGGGTAGTGATGTGGAAATTAAAGTGCTGAACCTCTTGAAATTCATGTGAATAGCCCAGCTTAAAAGAAAAGGTAGGGAAGCATAAAGAGCATGAAAACTCTAACTAACATGTCAACGGGGGTCCATTCATTTGTTCACCGAGTGAGTCAGCATGTCTAGCGCCATGCTAGAGGTTAGAGATACAAAGGTAATCACCCTCCAGCTCAAAGGGTTTACAACACTAAGTTCTTCTCAGAAGCATTCCGGAACAAACGATAGTCACTGTTTGCTAAGAGAGCACTGAACACACAATACTATCGTAATTAGAAGAGGTGGCACCTGCTCTGCTTCCTGAAGGATCTGCTTCTATATTTTGATGGCTGGTACCTACTGTACCCTTAACATGTACTGGGCATTCTACTGAGTACTTTGACTGTATCACTCCCTTAGAGTTGTTACACAGTTGGGAAAGATCTTCACTAACCCTACATCTAACAGAGGGCTATTATCCATATAAAGAACTCAAGAAATTAAACACCAACAAACCAAATAATCCAATTTTTAAAAACTGGGTACAGGGCTAAACAGAGAATTCTCAACAGAGGAATCTTGAATGGCCAAAAAGCACTTAAAGAAATGCTCAACATCCTTAGTCATCAGGGAAATGCAAATAAAAATGACTCTGAAAGGCTAAGATCAAAACACATCAGAAAGGCTAAGATCAAAAACTCAAGTGACAGCACATGCTGGAGAAGATGTGGAGAAAGGGGAACATCCCTCCATTGCTGGTGGGAGTGCAAACTTGTACAACCACTTTGGAAATCAATCTGGTGCTTTCTCAGAAAATTGGGAATAGTGCTACCTCAAGACCCAGCTATACCACTCCTGGGCATAAACCCAAAAGATGTTCCACCATACAACAAGGACATTTGCTCAACTATGTTCATAGCAGCTTTATTTGTAATAGCCAGAAACTGGAAACAACCCAGATGTCCCTCAACTGAAGAATGGATAAAGAAAATGTGGTACATTTCCACAATGAAATACTACTCAGCTATTAAAAATAAAGAAATCATGAAATTTGCAGGTAAATGGATGGAACTAAAAAATATCATTCTGAGTGAGGTAACTGACACCCAGAAAAACATACATGGCATGCACTCACTTATAAGTGTATTTTAACTATATAGTACAGGATAACCATACAATTCACAGATCCAAAGAGGCCAAGGAGGGCCTAAGAGAAGATGCTTGAATCTCACTCAAAAAAGGAAATAGAATAGACACTGGAAAGACATCCACGACAAGTGGATGAAGAGAGGGAAAGGATAGGAGAGGGAGTGGAGAGGGAAATGAGGATGGGGATCAGATGTGGGAAGAGTGGGGGTGAGGGTAGGGTGGGGGGTGGGAGAAGGTGGGAGCCTGGGAGGCCAGAGGGCTTGGAGAGAGAAGAGAAATCAAGGGCAGGGCCATCTCTGAGACAAGCTGGAGACCTTTGACAGGGTAGGCTCCTGGAGAATATGGGGGTGACTCTAGCTAAGACTCCTAGTAGTAGGGGTCATGGAGACTGGAGAGACCACTTTCTAGCCAGACAGGACTTCTATTGGAGGGAGGGGAACACCAACCCACTCACAAAAAACCTTGACCCAAAATTTACCCTGCCTCCAAGAGGTGCAGGGAGAAAGATATAGCAGCGATTGAGGAAAGGGTCGAGCAATGCCTGGCCCAACCTGAGACCCACCCCATGGGAGAGAGCTAACCCCTGACACTACTAACTATACTCTGCTAGGCTTGCAAATGGAAGCCTAGCATAGCTGTGCTCTGAGAGGTCCCACCAAGCAGCAAGTTGAAACAGATGCTGAGACTCACAGCCAAACATTAGGCAGAGTGCGGGAAAAGCCTTGTGGTAGAGTTGGGAGAAGGATAGAAGGACTTGAGGGGGACAAGAACTCCACAAGAAGTCCAACAGAGTCAACTTACCTGGGGCCAAGGAGGCATACAGAGACTGAAGCACCAACGAAGGACCATGCATGGACTGGACAAAGGCCCCCTGACACAAATGTAACCAATGGCAGCTTAGTCTTAATGTGAATTCTCTAGTAAGGAGAGCAGGAGCCATCTCTGACATGGGCTCTGTTGCCTGCTTTTCAATCACTGGGGCTGCCTTGCCCAGTCTCAGTAGAAGAGGGTACACTCTTCTTGAAGGGACTTGATGTGCTAGGGTAGGTTGGTAGAGGCAGGGGGCTCCCCTTTTCTGAGGAGTAGGGGAGGGGGATAGGGAGAAAAGGAAGGGAGAGTGAGACTGGGAGGAGAGAAGGGAGGGGGCTATGATCAGGACGTAGAGTTAAAAAAAAAGTTGCTGCACCAACAACCCTTAATGTAGAATTTAAAAATAGATTTATTTTATTTATTTTATGTATATGGGTATATGTGTATGTGTATGTATATGGGTGTTTGTATATGTATGTGTTATGTACATGGGTGCTTATGTGTCTATCTACCACATATGTGCAGTGCTGGCGGAGGCCAGAAAAGGGCCCTGGATTCTTCAGAACTGGAGTTACCCATGCTTGTGGGCCACGTGGGTGTTGGGAACCAAACCTGGACCCTCTGGAAAGCAGCTAGTGCTGTTAATCATGGAGCCATCTCTTCAGCCCATTCATTGTAGATTTTATTTTGTCCTATTTGCAGTGGAGGAAACCAAAATGAGGCTAAACTGTTAGTATAGAGCAAAGCCAGCACTGAAACCAAGCCATTCAGAAGCCTGGCTTATAGGTTAGTTAATTTGCCATGGTTCCCATGCAAATGAACAAAGAAGGGGAGAGAGGAAGAGTGGGTTTTGAGTTAACAGGAACCAATGTGTACAAAGATGCAAAAGCTTGACATATTATTCAATTAATATAGAATCATTACTTTCTAGATGTCCAACTCCATGCTGGGCACTGGGATACGAAGGAAAGACGGGGCCCACTGCACATTAAGTTCATGGACCAAGGGGGATGGCAATGGGGCACACCTTTAATCCCAGCACTCAGGAGGCAGAGGCAGGAGGATCTCTGAGTTCATGGCCAGCCTGTTCTACAGAGTAAGTTCCAGGAGAGATAGGCCTACATAGAGAATCCCTGTCTTGAAAAACAACAGTAACAACAACAAAAAGTTCATGGGCCAAAAGGACCTTGTTATCATCACTTTCTACCTGTCTTAGTTATTTTTCTATTCTTGTGACAAAACATCATGACCCAGGCAACTTATTAAACAAAGTGTTTAATTGGGCTTATGGTTTCAGAGGGTTAGAGTCCATGATGGTGAAGCCATGGCATGGCACAAGAACAGCTGAGAGTTTACATCTTGATCCACAAGCATGGGGCAGAAGCACACTGGGGATAGTGAGAGATTTTTGAAACCTCAAAGCCTACCCCCAAGGACTCACGTCCTCAAACAGAGGCTACTCCTTTCCAAATATCTCCACTAACAGAAGACAGAGTATTCACATCTATGAACCTATGAGGGCTATTCTCATTCAGATCACCATAGTATCTAAGTTCAATACTCTTTTGTGTATATATGTGTGATCCTAAGGATTTAAACCTAGAATTCTGTGCATGAGCCAAACACTTTACCTCTGTGTTACATCATTAGCTTTCTTTTAATTTTGAGACAGGGCCTCCCTAATTTGCCCAGGATGACGGTGAACTCACTTGGTAGCCCATGCAGGCCTTGAACTTGTGATCTGCTTGACTTAGCCTCCCAAGTTACAGGACTGTAACAATGCATGTCTCTATGAAATAGTAAATGAACTGTATTCTTCTAGAATCTAGAAGCCAAACCTTGAATAAGACAATGAGATTGGTCCTAGTGACTTACAGTTCAGTGTATGAGCAAGACACAATTATGCTGCAGACGCAGCACTAGGCTGAACAACAAGACCCTGAAAAGAACAGGGGTGCTTAATTTGGCCAGGGCAAGTGAGAGTGACATTGTTAGAACCTGTTTATATGAATGAATCTGTGACAGGGTGGAGAAAGAAGATTCAGAAATGGAAGCAACTAAAGCAGAAAGACCAAGGAGGAAGTCTCTTCAGTGTGTCAAGACGAGGCAAGAAGAATTTAAGCCGTCACAGTGACCCTAGGGAAGAGAATGGGAGGGATTCAAGGGAGCAGTCTAGGCATCAGTAGAGTATGGTAACGACAGCAGGAGCAGAGAGTGAGACGGCCCACTCACTTCCATTCTCCCAGCGGGGTGGCACTGGCAGGAAAGGCTGGAAGTGGTGCGACCTGGGGTGATCATCTTACTGATTAACTTCTTCCTGGGTGTTCCACAGTCTTCACTCAGGCAAAGCATGTTGCTTCCTTTCCTGCTATACTGTGGCTACCCCACGTCTAACACAATGATGGAATTCACATTACTGAAATGTATTGATCCTGTTGACCAGGGAAGGTTACGGATGCCGCTTAGCCACTAAGACAATGGTTCTCAACCTGTGGGTCGCAGTCACTTTAGGGGTTGAATGACCCTTTCACAGGAATCACCTAAGACCATCAGAAAACACAGATATTCACATTATGATTCATAACAGTAGTAAAATTATAGTTATGAAGTTGCAACAAAAATAATTCTATGGTTGGGAGGGGTCGCCACAATATGAGGAAGGTTGAGAACCACTACTCAAGCACTTAGATATTTATGGATATCGCCTTATCCAAAAAAACAATCTCAAAATCAACATAACAACAACAAATGGAAGTAGAATATATGAATGTGTACAAGAGCTCATGAGACACTGAGTCTTCTGGGGGAAGTTAGGGACTTTGTAGATGGAATGGTGAGAAGAAATGATAAGAAGAATGGAGGGAGTGACAGGGTAGGGCCGGGGAATTTCAGTACCTAGATGCAGTGTAATCTGAGGATTTCCGAAGAGTAAGGCTCTCAACTGAGAAGGAAGCCTGAAATCGACAATGACTGGCTCCCAGGCTTCCAAGAAGTCAAATGCTCAACATAAGCTAAGGAAGAAGAATCTGAGCCGGGGTGACCCAAGCTGGACACAGAAGCCTGGCAAGTCTCATGGTATCTCCAACCCCAAAGACAGGCTGCTTGTAAGCTGTTCCTCTGGGTTTCAAATCCGAACCAGCCTCCAGGGTGGAGGGAACACTTACTGCCCGTCAGTTCCTGCTTCGGCTCCATATGGAACCGCTTAGTGAGCTGCTAGACAGAAAAAAAATGTACGAGCATGGGCCCCAGCCAAGCCCAGCTTAAAAAGTAAAGTGTCCAGGAACAATTGAGGCTGAGCTCAGAGTGATTTTGCAGGACAGCTGGACAGGGAGGAGCTGGGAGGAGCCCTGAGACTAATTTGGACCCAGCCACCAACCAACCTTCTACTCTGTGAGGTGAAAACTACTCTAGAAAACTCTTTGGGTCTCTTCATTTTCCACTCTACTTCTTTCCGACACTTTCCACAACGGAATAAACAGACTCCTTACTAGTGCAAGGACAAATGTTTAGTAGGAAGCCAAGAAAACAGAGGCACAAAGAGAAAGGGGTGAGGCGCAGGGGTGACTATTACTCCAAGTTAATCATCACACCAAAAGCACTGTCTATACCCTGGCCTTCCTCGCACCCCACTTCGCATTCTGATTTGCTTTAGACCGGGGGTTTGTTCTTTACTGCAGCACATCAAGCAATACAGTGGTCAAATATGACTTTTTTTTTTCTTTCACACAGGAAAGAAGTGGGGGGGGAATCTATAGACTGATATCTGAGGCTGGCTAGGAATGCAAAATTTGGCTGCGTGCCCAGCCTCTGAACAAACAGCTCCTTTCCAGAGACTGAGTTATGGGACGCTAAAGGCAAACCTCAGGCTTTCCTAAATGGCTTTTTGCTTTAACAAATGCTGCTGAGACTGGAAAATCAGATCCTTTCCTTCAAGAATCTGCACATAAAATTTGCAACCCAATCCCTGCAATAAGCTTCCTCGGTAGGTTCCTCAACCACAATACATGAGCTATGTCAATGCAATGTTTCTCCTTTGGCATTGAGAAATGGGCTTTGTCATCATTCTTCTGAGACCTTCTGAATGCTTCATTCTGAGCTCAGAAATAATTCCACTCTTTCACTCTTTGCGGCAACAAAATAAACTAGAGATGTGCACGCGCGCCTGCAGCCTGTGTGCTCTGCTAGCACGTGTTGATGGGGACTCTAACCAGCACACATCCTCTCCGCCAGCAGGTAGTAATAGCTTCAGCAGCCAAAGCCACTTCCTTTCCTCAGTTAGAAATTCAAAGAATGTAAACCAAGATCACTAGAAATAACATTTCAACTTATATAAAACCACCAGGTTAAGACTATAGAAAAATGAGCCGAAACTGCCCAAATTCTCACTTTAAAAGCAAACATTCCACTTGGGCTTTTGAGCATGACTTGGGAACAGGATTGTAGCCGCTACCACATCAGATTGAGCTTGATGAGATTAAATGTTCATAGTCATCTGAGAAAAAAAATTAGGATTTTTAAAAAATTCCTTTTTTAATCCGTTAGCATCCCAACTAGTGCTTGCTGCTGACAGGGTCAGTAGTTTCATCCGTAAGCAGTTTGGTGTTGTTTTGTCTAACTCACAGATGTCTTCCTGCCTTACCTCCCCAGTGCTGGGATCATATTTGATCAGCCAGTCTTACATAGACATAAAGAGATAACTTTTTTTTCAGCAGCTTACTACAGGCTAAGTACACTGATAATTAATTGGGACTCATTCACTTCAAGAACACTATGGGAGTAAGTGTTACCTTTAAAAAAAAAAAAGTCATTGTACTGATTAGGAAACTAAAGCTCAAAAATGTTACAAGGTCAGAGTCAAGAATTCAGACAGAGGCCTGCTGAGCTCCTGAATCTAGAGCCACGGGGTACTCTGGCCGCTGACAAAAGCCAAAGTACTTGTGGGGCTGTTTGGGTCCTGACATTTCAGGTAACGCGAGAAGGGATAGAATGGACACTGGAAATTAATCAAAACAACTATGTCCTAGCCATAGGTCTGTCATCTTTTATTAAAACTGAGTAATCTACTAGATCTTAGTTTTCTTACGTACTGAATGATTTCTTACTTGCTAAGGGTGGAATACCTATTTGAAGGCACTGTGTGAGAAATGAAGTTTCTGTGAGACTTCCACTGGTGACAAAGCTGGGACAAGATCTCCCTCACACTCCCAAACTGATCCTTCTACTCATACTCACAGTGTCCCCACACACCTTTCCCCTGCATTACCCTCCTCCTTCTCCTCTTCTTTGTAGTGTAGACAGGTCTCTTTTCTTAGCTTCTCCTAAACGTGTCTCATGTTTATGGAATCTTTTTCTCAGTGTAAGGATGACCTGGATTTTGTAGTTGTTGCTGTTAACAAACCAATTTGGATAATGCAAGTCGCACAAACGCTTATTGGCATGAATCCTCAGTTACCACCAATGGCCATTTGAAGAGCAGACTGCAGGATTAAGCCAACTCTTACGAAACTGACTGTCCTTAATGACCATTTCTTATAAACATTTGAGTGAGTGGAGCAGGGAGGGTTCCGGTGCTGGCATGGGGATTAATTTGAAATTTAAAGTTAAAGCTAGAAATCAAACAATCTGCTTGTGCTCTGTCTAGACAGACTGTAGACCGAATAGATTTATGTGGAAGCAACTGCTTCTTATATCCCTTTGGCTTCTCAGTGCCCGAAGCAAAGAAGGCGCAAAGCATGTGGTATCACAGTCAAGCATTCCTTTTTCATCCTGGACACCGATTAGCGCCACATTTTCTAACAGTTCACCTCCCAGTGTTTAGCAAGACTTTGCTGCTGTTGGCTGTGCGTTTATGCACATTATCTTCAGCATTGCCTAGCGTGAAATGGCTTTTCACTGTTTTCTTGGAGTCAGACATTTTCACCCACATACAACCTCTCAGCTACTACTTACACTCAGCGAGCTTTTTCACCTGTGGGAACGAAATGAGAGCTGTAAGGGTCATCGCACTGCTCCGTGTCTGCGGAAACTTGACGAGGAGCCCCGGGGTCACTCACAGCTCGTTACAGCATTCGTGAGATCCAGCTAGATTCTAGAACCGCCAGGGGACCGACTTGGACGAGAGAGACAGACAGACAGAGGTAGACAGACAGGCAGAAGGTGTGAGGGAGAGCCCTCCCACGGTGCGACACAGAAGCCCCTGCCCCGCACCCCCCTCCGCGCGCCTCAGGGTCCCCGCACGGGGCAGCTGGTCTGGCCTGGGGCCGGGGCCTCCGCTCGTCCCCGCGGCGCCCGCGGGCCGCTCGCAGCCCTCACCTGGTCAGGTCGCGCAGCCGCGCCTCCTCGCCGCGCAGGTAGCGCCTCAGGGTCGCCAGCAGCCGGCGCTCGGGCGCCAGGGCGCGCGCCACGCTGGTGAGCGCCGAGAACGTGTCCCCGCGCTCCGCGGCCGCCGCGGGGCCCCCGGCCCCGAGCGCCAGCAGCGCCAGCAGCGCTGCCAGCCGCGCCC